ATGCACACATGTGCAGACACAATTCTGAAAGGATAATTCTATACTGCAAACTTTGTTTTTCTCCAGGAGCTAGAATGATCAGAGCCTATTCAAGTTCTATTTTATAAACATATATAGTGTAATACCTCTTTCATAAAAACTTGAAAATTTGACATCTTGTAATACGTAAAACTTATGTATTTTAAAATACAATGTATTTATGTAACCTCAGTGCAAAAATCTTGTGGGTTTTTAAGGGATTCCAGTTAACAAGAAATACAGGCACCTCGTACACAGGAATCACAAGAGAAGCTTGGAATGTTCTTCATGTGCATCAAAATCTCCTGGAGCTTAAGACACAGATTCTAGGGCCTGACTCCCAGAGTGCCTGATTCAGTTGGTCTGCATTCAAAACTGAGAAGATGCATTTCCCATGAGTCCCCAGGTGACACTGATGGTGAAGGTCCAAGGATCAAACTGAGAAAACCAGAGTTGTATAAAGTCCTGGCTGCCTGGTTCCAGGCCCAAGTCCACTAAGGTGGAAAATTGTAGGCTGTAAGGGGTAGACCCAAGTTTGCTTACCCACATCCCCTGAGTGTCTCTGCAGTGAGCAAAGGAGATGAATGGCTAACTGGGCTCAAGTCTCAGAACCCACCCTCCCCCCACTGCTGTTGAATGCTGTGAGGGCTCCACCCACCAAAGCCAGCTAGTCACCTGCTTCTCTTCTGCCCTGAACTTATCTGAAAATACCCACATGACTCATCCCTCACCTCCTTCAAGTATTTTCTCAGTGCCCCTCTTACTCTTATTAAGGGGCACCCCCACCCTCGACAACTTACTGTGCTGTGTAATATTACATTCCATACTAGACGTCTCAGGACACACACCTTGTCTTGTTTTTATTGTTTCCACCACATTCTAACTGTGAAAGATGACATGAGTGGGGCCACATTAAAACAGAGCCAGAGCAGCCATTTCCGAGGAATTGCATGTCTTGTTTTCTTTATCTTCCAAACTGGACCAAACCACCAACATTCCAAGAAGTCAGTAAGGACAAGAATATCTTGTTTGTAAGAACTGATAACATTGGACTTTGCTGATGACTGAATCTCAACCAATGAATGAAGTACAAGTCTACCCTTCTGCCTGATGACTGAATCTCAAGCCCATCTATGAAGTACAAACCTAGCCTCTCCTCATCTAGCACCAATAAACTCTTCTTTAATACAACTCACTTCCTCCTCCCTTTTTCCCATAAAAACTCTAAGCCCTTCGTCTGTAATTGGGACACTATTTGGGTTTCTACCTGAATCTGTGCTCCCTGAATTGCAATTCTTTGATCCCAAATAGACACTTTGCCTCTTAAGCTGGTTTCTGTTTTTGTAAGTTGACATAACTTACTGTGTAATTTTGTAATTTTCTTTCATAGTACCTGCATGTGTTTTTTGAAGAATGTAAGCTTCATGAGGACAGGGGTCTTTGCCTCTCTTGTGTCCCAATGTCTCCCATCCACCAACCATAGTGCCTAAAACTGAGTATTTGCTCAATGAACGTCTGTTAGAGTGAATAAACATGACACCTCAGCTTGTTATTCATTTTTGCTAATCTGACTACTATAAATGTCCACTTCAACTCTCCCTTCGAGCTGGTATTGCTTAATGTTTTCAAGAATAAAAGCCCTGCTAAAAATTCTCTTAGATCTTAACTTTCTTCAGAGTTCCCTGATAATTCCCCAGAGCTGTTTCTGACACTTTGAATAACTGCATAAACTTTATTACTAATTGAAATTTGCATTTCAAAATGTTTTGGAGATAATCTCAATTCCCCATGCAGAACTGTCCCTGCAATTATTAGAAAATGATAATCACTTCCCAGCAAGGAGAGAAGATCATGGGATTCAGGTGCCCTGTCTATCTCAGAGTTCAGATGCTCCCCTTGTACCCCTGCTTGGACTGGGAAAGATGCAACCATTTACCCTTTACAAAATAGCCATAGTTGGGGTAAGGGATGGAGGGAGTGCTTTGTGTTGGTCTCAGCTTATCTATAGCGATGCAATCAGCTAGAAATGCCTGAGGCACTCACCTGGGCAGTACTACTTGTGGCAGCCCTCACAGACATTTCCCCAGAGCAAATGTTGTGGCTGGACTGGTCCTTGTGGTTCTTATTATGATTGCAGGACACACCTCAGCAAAACCATCAGTGAACTTTGAAAAAACAAGATTTTTGGGCCTGCCCAGTGGCGTAGTGGTTAAGTTCGTATGCTCCACTTCAGCCGCCCAGGGTTCGCAGGTTTGGATTCCAGGCACAGACCTACACACTGCTCATCAAGCCATGCTGTGGTGGCGTCCCACGTACAAAGTAGAGGAGGATTGGCACAGATGTTAGCTCAGTGACAATCTTCATCAAGCAAAAAGAGGAGGGTTGTCAACAGATGTTACCTTGGGGCCAATCTTCCTCACCAAAAAAAAAACAAAACCGATTTATTATTCACAGGTTCTGGGGGATACATGGGACACCCAAGGACCACACAGAGAGGTTGTTACTGCACAAAATTGGAGTTCTTTTGCCTGATGCACATGAAAAACACCCCAATTAATTACAGCATCAGCTTTTGGGGGAGAAATCAGCTTTATTCTGTGAAATTGACCTGCATGGAGACAGGGGGCATGAATCCTGATTCAGGATTTGGGGCAAAATTTAAGAGGTTAGGGAGAATAGGCTGGCACTCTGAAACACTGGCGGAACAGGTTTTGCTTGGCAGGCTTCAAACATTTATGGTAAGGTTTTAAACATTTATGGCAGGGTTCTAAACTTTTATGATGAGGTTCTAAACTTTTATGATAGGGTTGTAAACATTTTTGATGAGGTTGGGAAGGAATTTTAACACCAGATCTACCTGAACGAGGGACCCCTCGCTTCTGATAAGAGTCCTACTTTCCAGTTCTGGTCATGTCCCCGTCCTTGGTTTCCCTGGGAAGGAGGATCTTTGGTTCTGTGGTCATTTCAGGTCAAGATTTCTTCTTCTGCACATGCTCTGGCTACGTGACTTTGCAGATTTTCTGAAAGACAATCCTTAATCACTTTGTTGATAAGAGATGGGGTCTGTTCGAACTGGCTCTAAATGGGCCCCTGGTTACAAGGTCACTAGTAGAGAGAAATGGAGGAAGCCTGGATCTGGGGCTCTGTGTTTATTAGGATTGAGGGTAGGCTACCTAGGCTTTCACAGGTTCACTCTTTATTGGAGAATTTAAAATATAAGAGTCGGGGGCCAGCCGGTGGTGTAGTAGTTAAGTTCGCGCGCTCTGCTTCAGCGGACTGGGGTTTGTGGGTTCGCATCCTGGGCAGGGACCTACGCATTGCTCATCAAGCCATGCTGTGGTGGCATCCCACATAGAAAATAGAGAGAGATGGGCAGAGATGTTAGCTCAGGGCTAATCTTCCTCAGCAAAAAGAGGAAGATTGGCAACAGATGTTAGCTTAGGGCCAGTTTTCCTCACATAAATAAATAAATAAAATAAATAAATAAATAAATAAATAAGAGTGGGAATTAGAATGCAGAGAGGAAAAAACAGGGTTACTTAAACGATCAGTCATCTAGATTACCCAGGGCTTTATAAAAGGGAAACTTCATGGGTGGGGTGGCCTGGTTTCTTATCTAGTTGTTTTAATAGTAGCTGTATCTACAGCTGACAATATGTTTATTTCAGATGCATGTCTTGGAAATGGATGGCTTGGCAATAAAAAGCTTATTGTCAGGCCCTTAAACTACAGGGAGGGATGAATAGGCGAAGCACAGAGAATTTTTAGGTCAGTGAAACTTCTTTGTATGATATTATAATGGTGGATACAGGTCATTATACATTTGTCCAAACCCATAGAATGTACAACACCAAGAGTGAACCGTTATGTATACCATGGACTTTGGGTGATAATGATATGTCAGTAAAGGTTCATAAATTGAACAAAGGTTCATAAATTGTAACAAAAACAAAATTGTAATTGTAAATTACTAATATCCCCCTGGTGGGGGATATTAGTAATGGGGGAGGCTATGCATGTGTGGGGACCAGAGGTATAGGGGAAATCTCTGTACCTTCTGCTCAACTTTGCTGTGATCCTAAGAATAAAGTCTATTAGAAAAAAGATAGCATTAGTTAAGTTGCTCTCGGATTCAGATGTCAGATTGCTAAAAGAAACGGAACATATCTTAGGATATGGGGTAAGAAATATATATGGATAAAAAGTTTTCCTTAGTGGGTAGGACACAATCACTGATGATACAGGCAAGAGAGTTGTTTTCTGTAGGACCAGAGGCAGAGCTCCTGCTTGTCCACCTGCTTCAGGGCGGCATAACATCCCTCTTCTTCCTTCCCTTCATGGCCCTACGTGGAGTCTTTCCCTTCTTCCTGACCAAACATAATGAAACTCACAACATTGAATAAGGCTGCAGGCTACATGCATTTGAAGAGCAATAACATAACGTTTCCAGCTATGCCTGGACTCCTTTTATGTCTGAACGACTATGGAATGACATGGTTATTTACATGAGTAGATCTGGGAGCATCTCAAATAATATTTTTATCCTCTGGGAGTAGGCTGAGCTTCATGGAATCTGAAATAATGTCTCTCTTCCGCCTTTAACAATGAGCAAACCCCTCCCTCCGTTTAGGTAGGAGCGCCGTTTTCCTACTTCCTCCCTACTGCCGCACAACTGACCTGGTTGGTCAGGGTGAACGCCCTCAGCTGCCGCCTCTAGAGTTGTAAGAACTACATTACCCAGAAGATCGTGCGCCGAGAGGCCGCAGTGAGGAGCCAATGAAGGATTAAGATAAAGGATTTTTTTTTTCGTCCGTGCGCATCATCGCGTCTGGGCGGGACTTCCGGTGTCCTGCTGCAGGCGGTTATTTTGGGTGTTGAGGGGTGTGTTCCGGGTACAGAGTTGTGGGTCCCGGCTGAGGTGGCGGGCAGAGAACGTGGGAGAGGAGGCGCTCTTCCCGCAGCACAGGGCAGGTCTGAGGCTCGGCGACACCGCCGGGGGACCCGCGCCCGGGTCCCCTCCTCTCCCGCCGCTCCCGGCCCCGCTCCGCCCCGGAGTCCGATGGCGGCGGCCGCGCGGAGGGAGCCGGCTCAGGTCAGTGCTCGTGCTCCGCGCCCTCCCCGCCCTCGGCCCAGCCCAGCCCAGCCCTAGAGCCTCGAGTGCGGGCGCCGCTCACGGGCCTGCAGCCCACGCCCTAGTGTCCGGGACGGGGAGGCGCTCGTGGGGCCTGTTTCTGAGAGTTGGGGTGACGGGTGTGGGAGAGGGTCCCAGGGGAGGGCCTGCGGGGGAGAGGCGTGGAGGGCGACTGAGCCGGGAGGAGTCGGGGACCTGGGGTCCGTGTTCTCTCTGCAGGGAACAGAGTGTGAGGCGGAGTTAAGCGTAAAATAGCAAGTTGTATCTTTATTCTGAGGACCCATGAAGCCATGGAGAGTTTTGAACAAAGGAACATGATTCACATTAGCGTTTTAAATGTTGCCAAGGCTGTTCAAAGGAAAAACAGAGTCAAGGGGAGTGATGAAGACATGGAGGCACTAGGAGGTTGAATGTTTGTTCACCGTCGCACTTCAAGTCAGAGTCCACACTGAGGCCAGAGATTAGGTTAGACAGCCAGCCTGAGGTCACCTGGCTCCAGGGCCAGGGAAGGGTATAGGGAGGCATGAGCCCATCGCCGCCCTCGCTTCACCCCGCATACACACCCACGGTCGCATTTTTCTAAGGCCTGCCTCTCCCACAGAGTCCCAAGGCTGCAGAAGCGCTTATGGAACCACCACAGGTATTTAGAGGGTGTCCTAGTCCGTTGGCCGTGACCACCACTCAAATGTTTTCTGGGTTTTGTTTCCTAGGACTCTTTAATTGCCATGTTCCTAGTCCTTGGATCTGGGGACCCCAAGCCCAGGGTCTTAAGTCCATGCCAGGGGTTATCTAAAGGTGTTCCCATTATTGGCAACCAGTGTAAACAAGTGTGGAAGGTCAAGCCAGGAGCTAGTACCAGGATGTGCAAATACTTAGAGTTAAAACTGAGCTGAGAGTATTCAGGAAACCACAGGTCTCCTTTTCTGGTATGAACAAAGAACAGGGGACAGAAATGAGGACAGGAATAGCTGCCTGATAAGTTGAGTGTCTGTTCTGGAGGTGATGGGGGGTTTGGATCAGAGGGGGCAGGTGATGTTACCACGCTCCATCTGACCATAAAGTGGAGAACAGACCGTGGGAGTGAGGGAGGAACAAGAAAGATCAAGATCAGGGTGGAGGCTACTCCCGTAGTCTAGGTGAGGGTTAATGGACCAGAGCTGTGGTTTAGGAGGTGTGGTTGGATTCTGGATGCATGTTTTTAAAAAGGGCAAGTAGATTTTCTAATGTGGATGGTGAGGGAGTAAAACAGAGGAATCAAGGATAACTCCATTGTATTTGGTCTTAGCACTGTAGAGATGGAAGCTCCAACTAAGATGAGGAAGCTGGTGACAGAAGTAATACTCACTGGGAATATCAGGAGCTTTATTTGGCTGTGTCGAGTCTGAGGTGTTTAAGAGGTATTTCTGCTACATGGAGGCATCAAATTGGCAGTTGGATGTAAAGTTGGGAATTCAAAGGGAGGGGTTCAAGTTGGAGGGGTTCAGTGTGGTGGCTACTATGTGGGCCTAAGTAAATGACCTGTGGTTACATTTAGGAGGTATAGTCTTGTGTTATGCTCATAAATCTGTTTGGGGGCCAGGACATGAAGGGTGTGGGCAGCTGGGTCACTTGGTTGAATACCTGAGTGATAGTATTGGGTTTATTAAATGCAGGTGAGGGAGGTAAGTGGCCATGAAGGTAGAGTGTATCAGATAGGATAGTCTGGCAGGTAGCCAAGGCTTCCAAGAGAAGAGTGGAAATGAGATGGATGCAGAGGCCTAGGAGTAATTGAGACAAGGTGACACTCAGCCAGAGCTGTTGCTTATTCATCACTCTATGGACTCACCAAGATTTTGTGAAGACTTTGGTGGGGCCTGGGGTGTTTCATTCAGCTTGATGGATATGGTCAGGAGCAAATATGGTCATCTGTGAGAATCACTAGACCTGAGGTGGACGGTAAATGGGGCTGGGCTCTGAACGAGGGTTAGGTGGACAGAGAATGTTGTCACTGCTGAGGGGACAGCAAGTGCAGCACAGAAGTGGAATAGGGCCATGGGTATCTGAGATCCACAGGTGCTTATGTGTGGCTGTCTCAGGCAAGGAACAGAGCCAAGCAGGGAGGCCTTCCTAGGGGGATTAGGTGTTTCTACCCCTTGTGGGAGTCATGGGAGTTCTGGGCTAGTATTGGATGCTGTTTGAATTTGCCAGGCAACACTGGATACTTGCTGCCAAGTTGTATTTTAAGGCCTAAAATTAAGGCCCATTATTATGCGCTGCCTTGACACCTGGTGAAATCCAGAGGGCCTCGAATGGCCTGAGTGCAAGTTCCCCTCCCCACTCTGTAATCTTGGATAAGGCCTCCTAGCCAAACATCCCCTTTTTATCAAGGGGACTAGAGCAGTTCCTGCTTATTCCTTTGAAGCAGGTTTCAATTCTCGACTAGCCCGCAGAGTTACTCAGAGAAGACGTTCTCATCATCCCATGGGAATCAGCTTATACCACACCTCTTGATCCTCCAAAACTTGCAACTCACAGCCCCTGGTTTTTCACTCTTTTCTGGTGTACAACATTCACGTGGCCCTGTATGCGGTGTGGTGTCCTCCTCTCACAGGCTGTGAATATGTGTGATTAGTAAACTGCTGTCCGTCTCCTCTGTCCGAGGTCGGGTGTCTTGTGTTTGGCCATCCCCATAACCCTAGGACAGGAATTCCCCCTTTACCAGTAGGGTAAAGAGGAGGTGATTAAAATGAAAGTAACGTGAGGAGGCCAGAGAGATGCCTATGCTGTGGGGCAGTGAGGTGTGGTGTCTGTGGCCATGTGGCTTGGTGTCCAGGGATGTGAGGAATGTGCAGTCTAAAGAATGATGTGCACTTGCAGAGGGAGTATGTCTGATGACCCAGGGCCCTAGTATTGAGTCTTACATGACTTTGATCATGTCAAGGGAATCGCTTGGCAGGAGCAGGTGGATACCTCTGTGCTGGGGCCACAGCTTAGACATCTGTTTATCCACCTGCTTCTTGTTGCTGATGTTTGGACTTCATGACCAGTGAGCCGATGAGGAGACAACAGTGCAAGCTGCACCAGGGCCTGGTTTGTCCCCTGAGTTGGGCCTGGAAGGAGGATGGGGTGGGGTAGATGTGTATGGGATGGATTGTGGGTGCTCATGAAGAAGGGCTGTTTATGGTTTCATCTGTCGTCGTCATGAGAGGGCACTGTCACCTTGTGGCCGTGTACTTCTGGGAGGAGTGGGGTCTCCGTGATGAGGTTCAGAGACACGTATCCCGTGATGCGATGCTGGAGAACTTTGAACTTATAACCTCCCTGAGTAAGGGCCTCACACCCACCCCTGTCCCCTGAGATATTCTCTGCTCTTCTATTTTTCCCCAGAGACTGGTCTGTCTTTCCACATTAAGACCATGGACACTGCTTCCTTCCCCAGTTCCCTAAGTAGGTGCTGTGGCTGTAGGGCTAAGGTGTGTGCACTGCCCTCTCCTTCATTAAGCAGCCCCAACACCTGCTTCCCTGCAGCCTCACAAGAAAGGATTCAGGGTCAGGCACCTAGAAGTCACTAATTGATTGTCCTTCTTTGCTTGTCCTCTCCATGGCCCGTTGACTTTGTCCAGATCCAAAGCACCTGTGTGCCCCAGGTCTGCTTCCTTCCTCAAGCTGATGTTTTCTCAGGCTTGCCTGTGCCAGGAATTGCCATCACTGACGTGGTTATGACTTACTTGGGCTGGGGTCTTTCCTTACAAAACTGTCCTGCAAAGTTTTCTGTAATAGTTTTCTTTCCTGTGGGCTCTTATGTGCTGAATTGTTCTGGCCCAGTACTGGCTGCTGTTTTGTAATGTCTTTCCCTTAGTAATTGCATCATACAGGTGCCATGTATTTGCTCATCTTGGAAGTAGGGTGCAGAGCCTTCAGTGGTTCATAAATGGCTGTTAATCCAGCCACAGCAAGATGTATTCAGGAGGATCCTAGGGAGGGCATCTGGGGGAGGGTATGATGTCAGGACTGTGTTCAAACTATAGGAGAAGCCTCTTCTGCTTGATTAGTATTTTGGTGCCAGTGCCACTGGCCACACCTAGTTTCTGCTGGTCCTTCCCCAGGCTTGACACTTTGCCTCCTTGTCAACTTTCCTTGTCACTTCTGACCTTACATCCCATGTAGGACTAGTCCTCACCTCTCTGGCCTCCATGTCTCGCTCTTCTCACTGCTCCATCTGCAGTGCTCTCCAACACTGACTTCTACATATTGTGTTATGAGGTGTACACATATCTTTAAATAGTCCTTGAACACAAGCTACTCTATTGCAGTCAGATTTTCTTGGTCCTGGACATACACTTCTACATAGTGCTTGTGTGTCACCAGCAAATGAGAGCCTGCTGGAAGATATTTGCAGAGAAACAGGTTGTAGTCCCTACTCTCCTCCAGATGTCACACCCCATGGTTATGTCCTTCACCTTGCGAAACCTTCTCCATTCTGTGCTCTTTATTCCCCAGTACGGCAAAGCAGCCTCATCCTCAGCCTGAACCGACACCTTGGTCCTGCAAACAGTCCCATGGACTCGTCCAGAGTTTGTCATACACACTCTCGTGGTTGGGTGGCCCCCTCCAACCAAAGTCAACGTGTACTCTTCCAGGATTTTATTCCTTTAAGGTTGTTGGTGTGGAGCAGAGAATGAGGAGGCCCCTTCTGAGCAGAGCGTTTCTGTAGGAGTGTCGCAGGTCAGGACTCCCAAGGCAGGTGCGTCTGCCCAGAAGGCTTATCCCTGTGAGGTGTGTAGCCTAGTCCGAGAGACATTTTGCACTTGGCTGAGCACCAGGGAACATATATAGGCCAAAACTGTACACCTGCGGGGCCTGTGGGAAACAATTCTATTTCACTGCAAACCTTCCAAGCGCCAAAAAGCAGCACGTGGGGGAGAAACACTTCAGAAGCAAAGCGTCACTTGTGAAGAGCTACAAATTCGGGGTGTCAGGAA